GAGACCTTAACTCCCCCCCTCTTGAAGAGAAGGCAAGGCTGCTCCTCGGGGGGCCTGGGACGTCTTAGCTGTATTCATGAGAATGGCCTGAAGGGAAAAGCGTGGTAGGTCGTTGTTTGTGGCTGAAAGATAGGGATGGCCAGTGGGACTTGGAAGGAGAAAAAATGCTAGGGCCTGTCCTTTTGACCACAGTATCTCCAGCACCTGGCACCCTCTTGGCGCCCAGTTAGCATCTGCTGAATGACCGAAAGCTACCTGACCAACCAGACACCCAACATGCCTGCCAGAGGCCCCGTCTGTGCTTTGTGTCTCCGATGTTTGCCCGCACCACCACCCCTTCCCTCTCCAATCCGTGCGCTCATCAGAACTGGATTTGAGATCATCCTATGCTGCAGGCCCTGGGCCAAGTGTTGTACCTGCACCTGCTCATTTAAGGGGAAGTCAGAACCCCCTGATAGATGATTTCATATTTGACAGGCTTCCGGGCTGGAGAGAAATATTTACTACCTTCTGTACTCTGTCCAATGCTCACTTTATTAGACTATAACAAAAAAGAAAAAAATTGAAAACCATTTGTTTTCCACAGGGGACTTAGGCTTTGATTACAAATTTGACCAATTAAATTACCTTAAATAATTTAACTGTAAAGACAAAGTCAATATGGTGGATTCTTTTGACTACTCGTATGCTTTAAGCATTTACAAATAGAGTAATGACAGCATTTATTACAACCCTGCCATCAAAACTGGTTATAAAAGTGCTAAAACCATGGGTTTAACCTTCTTTTGTCCTTATTCCAACACCTTTCTGAGGTTCCAATTTTTTTTACCTTTCTAGGGCTTCAGTAATTCTACCAGTTATTATTTTTATAACTTCCTAGAGTTTTTTTAAAGATTTTATTTATTTATTTGACAGAGACAGCACTAGCAGCGGGGGCAGCAGGCAGAGGGAGAAGCAGACTCCCCACCAAGCAGAGAGCCCAACGTGGGGCTCGATCCCAGGACCCTGAGATCATGACCCAGGACCCTGAGATCATGACCTGAGCCAGAGGCAGATGCTTAACCGACTGAGCCACCCAGGCGCCCCCTAGAGTTTTTGTAATCCTACTAGACCCAAAAGAAAAAGGAAACTGTCTCAGAATAAGCTCAGGTTGCAGGTTCTGGCCAGAGACATGGGATCAGGTGGCACAGCTCTGAGGATTCAAAACTGAGGATCATTAGCCCCAGTGCCATTTATATAAAGTTTTCTTGTTACCTTGGGTAGCTTTTGAGTTTCTTTCTTTTTCTCTTTCTCGTTTATTCTTTCTTTCTTCTTTTTCTCTTTCTCTCTCTTTCTTTTATATGCTTTAAAGAAAAACTCATTATGGAAAATGTCAAACAAATACAAAAGTAAATACAGTTTATAGACTCTCCACGAACCCACTACTCAACTCGAACAATTTCAACTCATGACTACTGATTCTCCTCCCTTATTATTTTGAAGCAAATCTCATACATGATAGAATGTCATCTGAACTGTTTCAGTATGATACTCTAAAAGATTAAGGATTTTATTTTTTGTAAAGATTTTTTAAAGTAATCCGTATACTCAACGTGGGGCTGGAACTTACATTCCCAAGATCAAGCGTCACATTCTCCATGACTGAGCCATCCAAGCACCCCAAGATTAAGGATTTTAAACCACAGTGCCATCATCACAATTAAAATTTTTAAATAATCATTCCTTAATATTGAATATCCAATGTGTTTGAATTTTCAATTTGAATAAATGTTCCATAAGTGCCAACTAAAAATTTTTCAGCTTGTTTGAATCAAAATACAAACAAGACCTAATACATGTAACTGGTTTATATACAGATACTAATTTCTGAAACTTGGTGTCTTTCTCAGAGATGGTACATTCAACTTTTGTATGGTCGTCAATACCTGAACTATTGTCCTTTTATTATGATGAAAGACCTGGTCTGTTGGCACTAGTAAAACCCATTATTAACTTATAATTGGTAAGGTCGCCAAAGTTTCACATATACCCTTCCGTGCCCTTCCCCTGACAGAGGATCTCAAACCTGGCTGCACATTAGAATCTGGACATCTTGGGGTGCCTGGGTGGCTCAGTTATTAAGCGTCTGCCTTCGGCTCAGGTCATGATCCCAGGGTCCTGGGATCGAGCCCCGCATCGGGCTCCCTGCTCGGCGGGCAGCCTGCTTCTCCCTCTCCCACTCCCCCTGCTTGTGTTCCCTCTCTCGCTGTGTCTCTCTCTGTCAAATAAATAAATAAAGTCTAAAAAAAAAAAAAAAGAGTCTGGACATCTTTTTTTGTTGTTGAGATAAAATACACATAACATAAAATTTATCATGTTGACCATTTTTAAGTGGACAGTTCCGTAGCCTTAAGCACATTCATTTTGTTGTGCAACCATCACCACTATCCATCTCCAGAACTCTTTTCATCTTGTAAAACTGAAACTGTGCACATTAACTGATAACTCCTCTTTCCCCCCAGCCCCTGGCCACCACCATCCCACTTTCTGACTCTGAATTTGACCACTCTAGGGACCTCCTATAAGTGGAATCTTACAGTACTTGTTGTTTTGTTTTTTGGCTTATTTCACTTAATATAATGTCCTCATGGTCCATCTGTGCTGTAGCCTGTGTCAGAATTTCCTTCCTTTTTAAGGCTGGGTAATATTCCATTGTATATAATACCCCACGTTTTGTTTATCCACTCATCCATTAATGGACACTTGGGTTGCTTCCATCCCTTGACTATTGTCAATAATGCCACTATGAACACGGGTGTTCAAATATTTCTTTAAGACTGTGCTTTCGGGCGCCTGGGTGGCTCAGTTGGTTAAGCGACTGCCTTCGGCTCAGGTCATGATCCTGGAGTCCCGGGATCGAGTCCCGCATCGGGCTCCCTGCTCGGCGGGGAGTCTGCTTCTCCCTCTGACCCTCCTCCCTCTCATGCTCTCTGTCTCTCATTCTCTCTGTCTCAAATAAATAAATAAAATCTTAAAAAAAAAAAAAAGACTGTGCTTTCAATTTTTTTTTGGATACATACTCATTAGCGGAATTGCCAGCTCTTTATTTTTTAAGATTATTTATTTATTTGAGAGAGAGCACGAGCGGCAGGGGGAGGGGCAGAGGGAGAAGCAGACTCCCTGCTGAGCAGGAAGCCAACTTGAGGCTCGATCCCAGGACCCCAAGATGACCTGAGCCAAAAGCAGCCGCTTAACTGACTGAGCCACCCAGGCGCTCCTTGCCAGCTCTTTTTTGAGGGCCTGTCACACTGTTTTCCATAGCGGCTGCACCATTTTACATTTCTACCAACCGTGCACAAGGGTTTCAATTTCTCCATATCTTCATCAACATTTGCTATTTTCTGGTTTTGTTTTGTTTTGTTTTGTTTTGTTTTAACAGTAGCTATCCAAATGAGTGTGATTTTTGTGGTTTTGTGGTTTTCCCATTGTGGTTTTGATTTGCATTTCCCTAATAGTGATGTTGAGCATCTTTTCATGTACTTGTTATCCATTTGTGGTGTTCTTTGGAGAAATGGTTGTTGGATTCCTGTGCCCATTTTTCAGTCAGTTTGTTACTTTTATGATTGTTAAGTTGTGAGAGTTCTTTATCCTGAATAAGAATCCCTTATTATAGAATCTGGGGATCTTTTGTGATGGGGCCTGTAGCTCAGTATTTTTATTTTATTATTTTATTATTTATTTATTTATTTTCATAGCCCGGTATTTTTTTAAGTTCCTCAGGTTGAAAAGAATTTTCTTAGGAGATGAGGTAATAAGTATGTTGAAGCTAGTTCTCATCAGGACAAATGGGTGCATCATCAGCTAGAACAGGGTTGACATCTCCTCCTACCTGGGTACTGTTTGTATTTATCAGTGCTGTTCAGTCATGGTAACCCTGCCTTACCCAGGGTCACTGGGCTCACAGTTTCCTCCTTGCACAGAGAGAAATGAGTTCATATTTCTGCCTTATAAATAGAAGTAGAGGAATAATAGATGAATCAAAATATCCGTATATTTACACTTTCCTATTTATAAAAATCATCAAAATTATACATACCTATTCTCATCACCTTTCTAGTCCATCTCCCTATAGGAGTACCTCTAGTACCTGTAGGAGAGTGTACCTGTCTTACAACTACCTTTCTGAAGATTTTATATTTACTTTCTACTTTTGAGTCGTTTAGGGACTCACAGCCTTCCCCAGACGTTTCACTTAAGCATAATGATTGTTACAGATTTTAGGGTGCTCAAATTGTAACAGCTTTGGAAATGGTAGTCCGTTTAATTAGGATATTTGTCTTTGTAACACTACCCCTGATATCCTTGAAAATATCCTTGTTTTCTGGCATCAACAGGATGCTCGTAGATTTTTCTTGTCTAAGAAATGGAATCAGCTACCCTCCAAGGACTCCTGGTTATTTTATTTGTTTTTTCTCTCTTTGTTTAAAATTATGTTATCCCTGGTTATTTTAATGGTAAATAATATAAGACACCCATATCTGGGCATTAGGGGTATACATGGTAGTTAGTGCCGGGGGCGGGTACTGGACCTCACTTGGTAGCGACAGAGTTGGAAAGAATTTTAAGGTACAGGTTTATATTTGATCTTTCTGATTTAACATAGCACTGCTGTGCCCCACCATCCTGATTGTCTGTGGACCCCCTGGTCACACTGACAGTCCTTTGAGGCTGCCTTTACCATTATCCCCACCTTACAGCTGAACAGACTGCAAGAAGTTAGGTAACTTGTCTAAAATCACACTGCAACGAAGTGCGGAGCTGCCCAGCTCTGTCAAATTTCAGCAGCCGGGTCCCCACAAAGCCCTGCCTCAACCTCCACCTGCTGTCAGAAACACAGAACTCTGTCATTTGCAAAGATTCTCCACCAAGTTGCCCCATTTAAGATTCCCAAGGCAGGGTTTTCCTAGTCTTGGGTGGAGGGAGGAGAAAACACCACCCAGATTCTTCTTCTCCTTCTGCAGGATTCGGGAATGAGAATGACCAGAAGAGCCCTCCACGAGAAAGGTCTGAAGACAGAGCCCCTCAGGAGGCTCCTTCCCAGAAGGGGCCTCCGGACAAACGCCCGGCCCGGCTCCGCGGTGCTGCCGGACACCAGAGCTCCCGGGGGAGGAAGCAAGGCCCCGAGGGCACCCAGGACGATCCCCCAGGGGAAGGGGAGGTGAGCTGGCTCCCCAGGCAAGGCGAGGCCCTTGGGTCTCTCTTGGCCGCCCCAAGATCCAGCCACCGACCCGTGCCGCGAGGGTGGAAAGAGCCCCCCAACCCTACAGCTACCGCAGGCACTTCGGGGCCGAGCGGCCCTCGCCCGCCTCGAACCTAAGGTCACAGCACCCATCTTGCTCGCCACGGACCCCCGCACAGTGAGCGGGCCCACCGGCACCCCAAGTGTGCAAAGGGCTTGGGCACACCTCGGACCTCACCCAGCGCCTGAGGACGCTTCGCCGCCAGAGGCCCCGGCCGCACTGGAGTGTGGGGACCGCAGCGGCCACCTCCTCCCGCACCAGCGCGCCCACCCCCGCGTCCGCCGGCCTCCAGCGTCCGGTGACACCCGGCGGCCAGCCCTGCGGCCGCGTCGCCCCCAGGCCCCGCGAGGCCCACGCACGCGCAGAGACCCCGTCCCCCCGCCCCCCCCCAGCCACCGAACCCCCATCTCCCGCCCCAAGCCCCATCTCCACCCCTACCCCAACCCCCCCTCCCCCACCTCCACTGCGCCCCCCACCGCCACCCCAGCCCCACCCACGGGAGGCCCACGGAGGCCGGGCCGCGGGCAGGGTTACCTCAAGCACCAGAGGACGCGCTCCAAGAGCTTCTACCGGGTGCCAACCTCACCAGTCCCCTGGGAAACCCCGTGGGACAGAGGCCTTTCTGCCTGGCCCCCGCCCGCCTCACAGCCTGGCCCCGCCGTCCTGGGCTAGTGGGGAGGGCCTGAGGCTTCTGGCAGAGCCCAGAGACCTGGAACATCCCCGCCTGGAGAAGGCCGGGGACACATGAGCCCTGTGAGAGGTTCCAAGGGCTTTCACCAAGCTCTTCTTTCCCAAGTCCACTGCTGGGCCTGTCATATTAGGAAATTATGTCTCCCGTTTACCGAGAGCTTACTCTGTGCCAGGCATTGCGATTTACAGCGATGATCTCATTTAATCCTCACAACATCCCAGTGACACCAGCGTTCTCATGATCGGCGTTTTACAGATGGAGAAACTAAGTCTCAGAGAGGTTAAGGGACCTGCCCAAAGTCACACAGCCAGTATGTACGGAAGCAGCACACAGCCCTGGGTCGGCCTGCCTGATTCCACGGCCCGGCCTGCGGCAGCGGCCCTATTGCTACAAGAGTTAAAGGCGCAGCTTTGACAGGGCATCCAATTACAGAGCAATTACATAAAACTGTATACTAAAATGAGCAGACACTCTCTGGAATGAGATTGCAATAAAACTTGAGCCTTCACATAGTTCACATTGAGACCAAAGCTTCAGGCTCAGCCCATGGATCCCTGAAGTAACCTTTTCTCAGACCTCTGCCTTTAGAGGGATGTTGGCCAAGGAAGCTCTACTCCAGGATCTGCTCCTGTGCAGAGACTCCCTGGAAGCCAGGAAAGATGGACTCTCCATAGTTTGCCATCCCACTGCGCTGCTTGGGAAGTTCATCCAGTTCCTGTGGGCTAGGGTATCCAATTTCCCAACAGATACTCATCTTCAGGATTTGGAAATGAGAAATTGGAATTCTTGGGAATTCCTGAAATCATACTACTCTGTATTTTTCATAACTTTCTGTATTTTTTAATAAATAAGAGTAGTTACAAAGAACTGTAGGCTATAGCAAATATTAAAAAACCAAAAAATACCAGAGAACATTATTGGGTAACATTTGAGTAACAAAATGTTTTTTTTTTTTTTAAAGATTTTATTTATTTATTTGTGAGAGAGAATGAGAGACAGAGAGCACGAGAGGGAGGAGGGTCAGAGGGAGAAGCAGACTCCCCGCTGAGCAGGGAGCCCGATGCGGGACTCGATCCCGGGACTCCAGGATCATGACCTGAGCCAAAGGCAGTCGCTTAACCGACTGAGCCACCCAGGCGCCCTGAGTAACAAAATGTTTAAATCTTCAACAAGATATCTGTACCACACAGCAGTATGTGTTGAAATTGCCAATTTGAGGACTAGTTTTTTTCCAAAATTTGATTCTTGTAACATCATTCATAGGATTTGTGTGAGATATATGATGCATGTAAACAGATTAATACTCTGTGAAAATGACTGTTTACAGCAGATAGGGCCACAGATCCACTTGTGATATGGCAACAGCTATGAAAAAGAATGATTAGACTGTGACCACTTCTCCTTTTTAAACAAATATTTATTTATTTAAGTAATCTCTACACCCACCATGGGGCTCAAACTCATGAAGCTGAGATCAAGAGTCACACACTCCTCTGACAGAGCCAGCCAGGCACCCCCACTTCTCTCATTCTGATCCAAGTTCCCAACATGTTTACCTTAATCTTGGACTCCGTATATCATCATTTCCTTCTCATGCTTTCTACTTGATGTCAGTGATTCTTTCATACCAGGAATGCCTCTATGTTTATTGTTAAGCATGAATTCTCACGGAGAATTATAACACTTTTTCCTATTTTCCCAATCTCTTGACTGATTGGTCTTGGGATTCAGAAAAACATCAATTTCCCAGAAAATGTCAGGAAGGACTCCCTGCATAGAAATACTATTCTGGGCTGAACAAGATTGGCAAAGCAAGGCTGCTACAGAAATAATTACCTAGTATCTCATCAGACCCAGTCACTGATGCTTCCTGGTTTCAGGGGCCTCAGAGCCAGAAGATCCAATTGTGGATCTCAGCTCTGCCAGTTTCTGGGTGTGAGACTTTGGGCAAGTCACTTTACCTCTCTGAGCTTCCATTCAATGGATAAGATGGTGCCTGGAAATAATATACTTGTTTTGTGAGGCAATATTGTAGAAGGGTTAATTAAAAGTATGGCTTTAGAGTCAGATGGTTTGAGGTTTGAATCCGTTACTTACTACCTCTTTGATTTGGGGCAAGTTCTAGCCACTCTGAGCCCCATTTTTCTCCTCTGTAAAATGGAAAAGCTGAGCCCACTTCATAGGATTTGGGTGAGTTTAAATGAGATCACGTATGAAAATGCTTCACACAGAGCATGGTACAGTGTAAATGCTTGATAAACGAGGACCAGAGTAGTTATTACCTGCTGTATCTACCTCACAGGGCCGTTGTGAGGACAAAAGGGAGGTTATGTTGTGGAGTTGCTTTCTAAGCTGTGAAGTGGTGTCCACGTTCTTCCCTTTCCTTCAGAGATGGGATGGTCAGAAGCTACTGACAGATATTAGAGCTATCTCCAAGTAAGAGGCCTGGGGCTACTTCCTGATATCCACGGAAGGTAGCTGTATGGGGGAGAGGTGTCACCATGGTTACCTGAAAAACAGGGTTTAGTTGCAATCAAGTGGGCAAACTCTGGCATCATCTGAATTGGGGCACACTTGGGGGGTTGGCGGGGGGAGATGATTTTCAGAAAGAGGCTTTGGAGAAAGGACTGTGTTAAATGGAGCCTGCCCACTATAGGTTTGTTTAATAGGGATTGGATCAGGGGAAGGGGATGTGGAAAAGAAGGTGGCGAGGGGGCTCTTTGACTATTGTCTGAAGCCCTGTCCTTGACTAAACCCAGGAAACGATCCTATTAGCTGGAACCAGTGCATCCTGCCCCTGCTGTGCGTGACCTATGATGTTCATTCATCCCGAGACAGTAGACCAAACATGGATCAAAGGGCTTTCCAGAGATGAGCTTCTGTAATCCGGACAGCAGACCTGTAAAGAGAATACTAGCACTACTCCCATTTTGCAGATGGGGGCTCGGGGTCTGGGAAAGTTAAGTCCATTGCCCAAGGTCACACAGCCTATTTGTAGTTGAGTCAAGATTCTTCTTGTCTTGAGACAAGAGTCCAAGCCCTTAGTCCCCACCAGGCCACCTCAGCTCATGAGATGCCAGGTGCTGAGCTTGAACAAGGAAAAAGGAAACACAAATGTATGGAGTTTGGCGCCTAACTGGTTCCTCACTTGTCTTCTGTGACAACTCTCTCTCTCTCCCGATATTACTCCTACTTTTCTGGACACAGTTTCTTCGCTTCCAGAGACATTTTTCTCTGCGTAGCCCTGAAGTCTGGGTCCTCCCGGCCCCATTCCTTGGACTCTTTTCTCTTTCTTTTGCACATACAAGTCTGTGAGGGATCTTCCTGTTGCCCACAGCTTCGGCTACTGGTCATCTCTTTAATCCAAACTGCCCCTCCAAGCACCAGCATGATCCAGCCAACTGCCTCCTCGACATCCCCATCTGAGGTTCCAGGCTCTCAGCTGAATTCATCATCTCTCCCTTAGCATAAGTCTCCCTCCGAGTTCCCCTTCTTCCTTACCATGGCCTCTTAGTTTCAAGTACTGGTGTAGCGATAGGGAATCCAAGAAGCCTGCACAGACAGCCTCATGAGTCTGTTCCTGCAGCTAGACGTGGACTGTAGGGTGTGTTCTCTGAGAGCTGCCAACAATTTAGGGGTGCACTTGGAGGGTGGAATTCATCATTTAATCTGCTGTGTCCTAAGTGCCCAGCAGTGTGTCAGGTCCAGGAGCAGGGGTGGAGGATACATTCAGGGGTGAAACAGATGGGATCCCTGGCTTTAGGGAGCTTTCAGGCTACTAGAGAAGATGGACATTAGGAATCCTCCCAAAATACGAAATCTTACAAACTGTGATAAGTATCATGAAGGAAAAGTTCAGGGAGCTACGAAAGAATATAATAGGTCTGTATTAGGTTGGAGTGGGGGTCAAAGGCCATTTTGAGAAATGGTAATTACTATATCCCTGAGAACTGAGTTGGGGGGAAGAGAATTCCATATAGAGGCAATAGTAGGTGTGTGTATGAAGACCCAGACGTGTGTTGGGGAAACTGAAAGGCAGCCACGTCAATGGAGCTGAGTATGCTGGCCATGATGACTGGTCAAGATAAGACTGGACAGTCTGGCTGGGGGTGGTGCCTGGTGCCTTGTGGGCCATGGTAAGGAGCCTAGATTTTTTGGTTTGACTTTTTATTTGGAAATAATTTCAAAGTTACAGAAAAGTGAATAGTACAATGGACATCTGTCTGTCCTTTATCCCAAATTCATCTGTTAAAATTACTAATTCTTTATATGAAGGGTTACAGGTGACTTATTCTGAACTATTGGAGAATAAGTTGCATAGATCACATTCTTTTACCCCTAAACAGTTACAATGTATACAAAAACAAGTATCCATTTCACTAAATTTAACATTAATGCAACACAGTATCTCATTTACCACCCATTTTGTCAATCACCTCAATAATGTCCTTTACATAGCATTTTTCCTCTAGTCCAGGATCCAGTCTAGAAATGAAGTGATGCATTCCACTGTCATTTCTGTTTAGTCTCCTTTAATCTGGAATAGTTGGCTTTGTCTTTTATGACATTGACATGATGGAAAAATTCAGTTTTCCCCATTAAGAGAATATTTCTCATTTTGGGGTCTGTCCTCTGTTTCTTCATCACACATCCCCGCTGGAAGATGACATGTTATTGTGTCTTTCTCACTGAGGCAACAAAAGGCACACACTGCCTATCTCCTCCTTCTTAGTGATTTAAATATTGTCTGATTAATCTATAGTTACTGTTTTTCCCTTGTCACTGATAAGCAATCAGGGAGATAGTTATAGCCATGCAGATATCCTATTCCAGAGATTACTAAGTAGATGAAATTTATCATCCATCAAGTCTTCTTGCCTAAAGCAAATCAGTGTCAGGAGGGTTAGAGAATGACTCTAGCTCTCTCTCCCCTTGACATTCTTCTGCTGATTTATTTATATATTTATTATTAGCAGGGACTTTTGGGTTTCTATTTTCCAATAATTTTAGTTATTAACCTTAATTATTTTGGTGCTCAAATTATCCCAGATATGGCCAGGGGGAGCCCCTTAAAACTAGACCTGGATTCTATCCCAGCTTCACTGGACCGGCATGGTTCAATTTGCGTATTAGACACTGTGTATGAGAATGCATTGTACGGGCACAGAGGAGGAAGTAGGGAGACCTGGCAGGTGGCCCTTGTGTAGTCCAGGCGGGAGATGTGGCTTAGACCAGGGAATTAATTTGGATGTTCAAGAAAATTTAGCGATACAATCAGCAGGAACTCGTGGTTCAGGAAATGTGCAAGCAATCAGAGAGGGATCGACCGGAGTAGCTGGGTGGATGGTGGAGATATTTACTGATATGGGGGAAGACAAGCAGAGTAAGGCGGTCAGGAGGGATGGGTATTTTAGACAGTTGAGTTTGAGATGTCTTTGACATCCAGGTGAAGATGTCAAGTAGTAATTAGATATGTTTTGTTCTGGAGAGAAGTTCAGACCAAAAAAAAATTTAGGAGTTGTCACATATGGATGATTTTTGAGTCCATGGTCCTGGATGAAATGCTGTAAGGGGAGAATATGTAGTGAGGAATGAGAGGGGCCAGACTGGGAATCCTAAGGGAGTTCACTGTTTGGGGGCATGCGTGTGTGTGGCAGGAGATGGCAAAGGGGAGATGGGGGGCCAGGTCATGGAGCCTGCAATGTCAGGCCAAATCCTGAGGGCTATGGGGAACCACTGAAGGGTTCTGAGTAGGGGAGTGAATGCCAGGGTATGATCTGAGTTTTAGAAAGATTGTTCTGACAGCCAAGTAAGGATGATCTGGAGAGTCATGGAAGTGGCTAATGCTATGGTTCTTTCTAAAGTAAATCTGCTATCCTCTTGCCACTGGAGATTGCTCAGATGGATCCGTGTGTCTGGGATGCCCTCTCCTTATTCACCTGGGCACAAAAAAGATGATCAACAGATCTGCCTTGGCTGCACTTATCGGCCTCCGGAATGAGAGCAGCCCCCATCTCCCTGCCTCATTTTAGCTGGAGGGCACAGCTTGCTTCTGGAACTTTTTCTTAGCCAGGTGCATTGTAGGTGGGAGTGTGCACGATCTGGTCCCTGAGATTTGTGGGAGTCTGGCTACTGTGATCCTCTGCCCTCTCATGCTTTGAGTTCAGTGTGGGCTCTGCCAGCCAGGCAACTGCCCATTCAAAGTATGTTGTCCCCTCTGCACCCCTGCACGTGCTAAGGAAAATGGGTTGAGTCTGGATAAACATTCTAGTGCATCCTTCATTTACCAGGGGTGGTGCTGTGCAGGAGGCCCGCAATCCTGTCTAGAGCATGTCGACAGCCCATTGGAGACACAAATAAGCAAAGGCAGAATTTTGAGAGACCACAGGGAGGGCCAGATGTTCTGGAAGCCCAAGAAAGCAAGATTGTTACTAGTTGGAGAAATGAGGGAAGGTTCCCTGGACAAGGTGGCATTTGAACCGGGCCTTGAGGACAGAGAGGACTATTTTCCATTTCACAAAGGAAATATTTGATTATTCAAGCAGAAAAGAAAAATAAGGAAAAAAATCAAGGCCCCCCCCTCACATTTTATTGACATTGTCCACACAATCGTTGTTGGTTATGTGAATATCCCATTAGGCGGCTGCTTTATATAGTTAGCCCTCTTACTGTTAGAATAATTCATTTCCAGGCCTCAAGACATTGGCTTAGAGCCTGTGGCTGGGCAGTGGGGATAGAAGCAACCCCGGGACCAAACGCAACTCAGGAATCAGTGCTTGAGCCCATCCACTCATTCCTTCCATTCAGCAAACGTTTATTAAGGACTCACCTCTCCCAGGCCCTGAGGATACACTGATGATCAGGACATACTTCCTGTCTAGGAACTCAAGTCTAATAGAACGGGAACCACGGGTGGAGATAATTTACTGTAAAGCACGTGAAGATGCCCCAGACAGGCGCATTGCGTGCAAGATGCGGTGCTGACACGGAGACTAGCTGGGGGCACGGAGGCCTTGGCGGTAGAGGAGCGCATGCGCAGTGAGAAGGGGGAGGCTTGAGGACACCTGTCAGAGGACCAAGTTCCCGCGGACCACCGCAGCATACCTCTGTCCACAGGCTGGAAGGCACATCTCTCCTACTCTTATGGGTGTTTGCTTTTTTCTGTTTTCTGTTTTAAATATTTCCTTTCTCCTACTTTTATGGGGGGGGCTATTTTTTTCTTTCTTTTTTAATATTTTATTTATTTGAGAGAGAGAGAGCGAGCCAGAGAGAGAGCACAAATGGAGGGGAGTGGCAGAGGGAGAAGTAGACTCCCTGCTGAGCAGGGAGCCCGATGCGGGGCTCGATCCCAGGACCCTGGGATCATGACCTGAGCCGAAGGCAGACGCTTAACCGACTGAGCCACCCAGGCGCCCTGGGGCGGGGGTGGGGGGGCTATTTTTATGCTCTTTTCCAAAATCTCAACTTCTGTGCTTCATTCATTCATTTTATTTTTCTCTTTTTGACTCTAAAAGCATTTAAGGCTGTTACTTTTACCTCTGCAGATAGTTTTGACTGTATCCTATTTTTAAAATTATTTTCTAAATAGTTTGTTTTTTACTTCTGATTTACCTCTGTCCTAAGAGTAATTTGATATGCTATTCACGTTTTTCCATTTCGAAGTGGCATGTTTTATATTACTGTTAGCTGTATTGCATTTGATCAGAGACTGACTTTTAGAATTTCCACTTTTCAAAATTTACCAAAATGTTCTCTGTAGCTTAATATTTGTTGAATTTTGTCACTGTCCATGGAACTTGAATAGAAGGTACACTATTTGTTTTCAGGTTAAAAAAATTTGTGTGGTCATATCTTCTATGTCCTTATTTATTTTTTGATTACTTGTTCAGAATATGTGTTAGAATATTTCCAATAAAACCGTTTTTCATGTTTCTCCTAGTATTACTCAACATTTTATTTCATGGATCTTTGGTATTTAACACATGAGAAATTAATTACATTGTGGAGTCAAGACAGCCTGGATTTAAACCTTGGCTCCATCATTTATTTGCTTAGACTCCTTATCCAGAAAATGAAGATAATAATGGTATCTCCCTTGTATAATTGTTGGATTAGGTGAGGTGAATGTAAACCGTGGCACATGGTAAGTGCTCAATAAAGCTAGAATTCACTGTCCTGATTGTTGTTATATCGCCTGGCTGACCATTGCTGGCATCCGAAGCCTCTGCTATGGAGGCAGAAAAGGCCTTGAAGAACCTCTTTCTTTTTCTCTAGCCAGTGCACATTTGGTAAACAGAATGCCCCATGCAGAACATCAGAAGTCACTGTGGAAAATGGGGAAAGCTGAGAGCTTCCCAGCATGCGAACACAGAATGACACATATTAGTTTTGATGGTGGGATCACTGGGTCAACCTGTGCATGGACATGTATCAGTGGCATTCTCCAGCCTTTCATGCGAGGATGGGGCAGGTGGGATGCCAGGAAGAGGGAGAGGGCCCAGCTTTCCCCAGATGTCATTTCAAACACTGGGTCCTCAACCTCAGATCCTCAGGTCCCTTTTACCAGCCCTGCGAGCTGGGATTCTGTAGGTTTCCCTGCCAATTCCTTACACCTGCAACCTTCAGAGGTTCACTCTTGGACACCGGAGGCATTTATTCATGGGAACTTTGATGTCCTCACACCCTCCCTGCTCCGGGGGGGCTTATAGTCAGTGATTGGCATGTCAGCACTAAAGTCCAGCTACTTGGTGGGAGCAGGACCAATTTTGCAGTGCTATTTACACTCCAGAGCTGCTCCCACACTGGCTAGTCTTCTTCCCATGCTTACCTTGCTCACCTACTTCATTCCCTTAATGGGTTTTCCTGAGAACCCTTCTTTAATAAATCACTTGCTTGGATTAAGCTTCTGGGAGAATCTGACCTAAGATAAACTGCTTCACTCCTTCCTGGCAGGAGGAATTGTGATATGGACTGAGCATAGTAGTGAGTTCACGTCTTTTTCTTTTCTTTTCTTTTTCTTTTCTTTTTTTTTTTTTTTTTTTTTTGAGTTTATGTCCTTTGGGATGCAAGAGACATAAATCCAAACGTGGTAGCTTGGACAAGAAGGTCAGAAGGATGCGGAGTCTCCCAAGTCATCCCAAGAAGGAAAGGAGTACCCCTGGGCCACAGACGCATCTGAAATCAGGGCATTCTCTCCCCAGCTCTCTTGATGACTCAGGTGTGCTTTATTCTCTGCGAGCAGTATTTCCAAATAGCTGGTAGTAAGACTGCACACAGTGGCCCGACCTCACTTTCCTTAGCTCTTCCCTGCTTTGTTCAGTTTAGGACCAAATGGCCACAACTGGGGCAAAGGAGATATTTAGCACAATGGGGTGATTCTTTTTTTTTTTTTAAAGATTTTATTTATTTATTTGAGAGAGAGAGAATGAGAGAGAGCACATGAGAGGGGGGAGGGCCAGAGGGAGAAGCAGACTCCCTGCTGAACAGGGAGCCCGATGCGGGACTCGATCCCGGGACTCCAGGATCATGACCTGAGCTGAAGGCAGTCGCTTAACCAACTGAGCCACCCAGGCGCCCAATGGGGTGATTCTTGACTCTAGATTCTCTTCTATTCCTGGTGAAGGAGGGGCTGTGGCAGAAGGGAGGGGTGCTGGACAGAAAAAAAAAAGCTGATGACCACCACATAACTCCTTTGATGAAAAGAGCAGTGAACTTAGAAAGCATGGCTTACTTTTACACCCATGTTCACAGCAGCACTATTCACAACAGCTAAAGGCAGAAACAACTCAAATGTCCATCAACAGACAAATTGATAAACTGTGATATATATATACACACCAAATGGAATATTATTTGGCCTTTAAAAGGAAGGAAATTCTGATACATGCTACAGTGTGGATGCACCATGAGAACATTATGCTGAGTGAAATAAGCCAGTCACAAAAAGACAAATACTGTATGATTCCACTGATATGAGGTACCTAGAACAGGCAAGTTCACAAAGACAGAAAAGAGAATAGAGGTTACCAAGGGATAGTGGGAACAGGAATAGGAGATTGTTGTTTAATGAGTACAGAATGTCTGTTTAGAATAATGAAAAAGTTCTCAAAATGAGTAGTGGTGATGATTGCATAACATAAGAATGTATTTAATGGCCAGTGGATTGTGCACTTAAAAAGGGCAAAGTATTAGAATTCTCCAGAGACGGGCACCTGGGTGGCTCAGTCGTTAAGCGTCTGCCTTCGGCTCAGGTCATGATCCCAGGGTCCTGGGATCGAGCCCCGCATCGGGCTCCCTGCTCCGCGGGAGGCCTGCTTCTCCCTCTCCCACTCCCCCTGCTTGTGTTCCCTCTCTCGCTGTGTCTCTCTCTGTCAAATAAATAAAATCTTTAAAAAAATAGAATTCTCCAGAGAAACATAACTGATATATATTATGAAGAGATTTGTTACAAGGGATTGGCTCTTGCAATGATAGGGAAGCTGAGAAATCCCAACACAGGAGCCAGTGATGTATGTTTCAGTCTGAGTCTAAGAACGAAGGAGGAAGACCAATGTCCCAGCTCAAAGAAGCCAGGCAGAGAGAATTCTTTCCTACTCAGCCTTTTATTCTATTCAGGTCATCAATACACGGAATGATGTCCACCCACAGAATGATGTCCACAAAGCAGGTAGGGCAATCTGCTTTACTCAGTCTACCAACTCAAATTTTTTAAAAGATTAATTTATTGGGGCACCTGGGTGGCTCAGTCGTTGAGCATCTGCCTTCGGCTCAGGTCATGATCCCAGGGTCCTGGGATGGAGTCCCGCATTGGGCTCCCTGCTCAGCGTGGAGTCTGCTTCTCCCTCTCACACTCCCCCTGCTTGTGTTCCCTCTCTCGCTGTGTCTCTCTCTGTCATATAAATAAATAAAATCTTTTTTTAAAAAATTATTTATTTATTTACTTATTTGAGGGAGAGAGAGAACATGAGCAAGGGGGAGAGGGAGAAACAGACTCCCCACTGAGGAAGGAGCCCGATGTGGGACTCGATCCCAGGACCCCCAGATCACGACCAGAGCCGAAGGTAGATGCTTAACCGACCGAGCCACCCAGGTGTCCCACCAACTCAAATCCAGAAACATCCTCACAGCCATACCCAGAAATAATGTTTAACCAAACATCTGGGCCCCCTAAGGCTCAGTCAGGTTGACACATATAATTAACCATCACAATTGGTAAACTTTATGTTATGTATATTTTACCACAATAAAAAGCAAAGGCATTGCTTAATGTTGACCTCTGGCTGAAATGGAGTAACTGGGACCAGGTTACCCTCTTGCCTGAGATAACAACAAGACAAAATACACAAAACAATGATTTTCAAGACACTGGACATGACAAGGAAGGACAGTGATCCCTGATGGTTTCACTGGTGAATTCTACCGAACATTTATTTGTTTATTTATTTGTGTGTGTGTGAGAGAGAGAGAGCACAAGCAGGGGAAGTGGCAGGCAGAGGGAGAAGCAGGCTCCCCACTGAGCAAGGAGCCCAATGCAGGACTTGATCCCAGAACCCCGGAATCATGACCTGAGCTAAAGGCAGATGCTTAACCGACTGAGCCACCCACACATCCCAGTCTACCGAACATTTAAAAAAGAATTAACATCAATTCTTCTCAAACTCTTTCAAAAAACAGAAGAGGAGGGAATACTTCCTAACTCATGAGGCCAGGATTACTCTGATACCAAAGTCAGACCAAAACAACACAAGAAAAGAAAATTACAGACCAATATTACTTATGAATATTGATATAAAAATCCTCAACAAAATACCAGGAAACCAAATGCAATAGCATATTGAAAGGATTGGGACAGGAGTGCCTGGGTGGCTCAATCAGTTAAGTGTCTGACTCTTGATTTCCCCTCAGATCATGATCTTAGGGTTGTGAGATCTAGCCCCATATTGAGCTTTGCACTGAGTATGGATCTTGCTTAAGATTCTCTCTCCCTCTCCCTCTACCCATACCCCTCCCCCCACCTGCTTGCTCTCTCTCTCGAAAAAAAAAAAAAAGGATTGGGGTGCCTCACTGGCTCTGTCTGTGGAGCATGTGACTCTTCATCTCGGGGTTGTGAGTTCGAGCCCCATGTTGGGTGTAGAGATTACTTAAAAACAAAATCCATAGATAAATAGATAGGTAGAGATAGATAGATAAATAGATAGGGAAATAGATCAAACACCATGACCAATTAGGATTTATCCCAGAAATGCAAGCATGGTTTAACACACAAAAATTAACCAGCATAATACAGCCCACTAATCGAATAAAAGGAAAAAAATACATGATCTTCTCAATTGATGTTATAACACATATGACAAATTTCAACACTTTTTAAGATAAAAACATTCAGTACACTAGGAATAGAAGGGATCTTTTTCAACATCATAAAGTGCAGTTATGAAAAACCCACAGGTAACATGGTGGTGAAACTCTGAAAGTTTTCCCTCTGAGGTAAAGGACAAGACAGGGATGCCCACTTTCACCACTGCTATTCCAAGTTCTAGCCAGAGCAATTAGGCAAGGAAAAGAAATAGAAAGCATACAAATTAGAAAAGAAGTAGAGCTATATCTATTCACAGATGACATGATCTTATACATGGAAAATAAATCCTAAAGATCTACCAAAAAGGGGTGCCTGGGTGGCTCAGTCGTTAGGCGTCTGCCAGGGTCCTGGGATCGAGCCCCGCATCAGGCTCCCTGCTCCGCGGCGAGCCTGCTTCTCCTTCTCCCACTCCCCCTGCTGTGTTCCTCTCTCGCTGTGTCTCTCTCTGTCAAATAAATAAAATCTTAAAAAAAAAAAAGATCTACCAAAAAGCACTAGAGCTAATAAACAAATTCAGCAAAGTTGCAGGGTACAAGATTAACATAAAAAAAAATCAGCTGTGTTTCTATACATC